AAGGAGCTCCCGTGGGAGGATTTGGGAGGAGCCGGCCCTCCCTGCACTGTCGGAAGCTTCCCTGCTCCGTGATCACCTCAGAAGTTTGGGCTATTTCGGCTCTCGGCCCGGTCCCCACGCAGCACACGTGCAGGGCTGCCGTTATTCCACGGAAGCGCCACATTCCTCGCCAGCCTGTCGGAGGGAATTAAGAAAATCAATAAATCCGGCAGCAAAAACAATGAGCCGGCCCCAGAAATTAATGCTTCCGTCCAGGCTGAGGAAGAAATACGGGCGGAGGAGCAAGGATTGGAATTTCTAACAGCGGATGAGCAGGAGGAGGCGCCGGGGCGGGCAGGGCCCTCAGCACCTCTGTGTCTGTCCCCATCTCCCACGCTGAGCGAGGCCTAACGGGCGTTTCACAGCCAGAATTCCTCGGAGGGATCCCTGCTCCAAAAACACACAGAACCTCCGCAGGGACCTGGCAAAAACAGGGAAGGAACGACGCTATTTTACACACTGACATTACCAGGTGACGACGCAGCGCGGCTGGGTGCAGCCTGAGGGGACATCTGGACTAACGCTTTTCAGTGGTAAAAGTCCAGTCTCACATTACTGAGGACTTTCCCTTAGTTAACTTATAAGTTAAAGCGTGGATTAAATTATCTGTTAAAGCAAGGAACCATTTGAATTTCAGTACATTATGATAAAAGTCAAAAATTAGGAAAATTAGGGGAAAAAATTATGGAAAAAATTATGGAAAAACTTAGGGAAATTTGTACCAGCTGAGGATGTGACTTCGTTTCTCCAGCCCAGGATCTTAAGCCCTGCTTTGGTGGAGCAGAGGCTGCAGGATGCAGCCTGCTCTGCTGCACAGTGCCACTAACTCTGGGCATATTACTTTCCATATGCTGCACTAGACCATTTAACAAGGAGTATTTGCATCTCACAGCTCATATGAAAATATTTGGCAGGGAGTTGGGGGGAAAAGTGAGCACCAGCAAAAAGCCTTCCCTTGTTATACACCCCAAATCGCTGCAGCATCCTTTGAATTTCCAATTGGGAAACAGCAATAAATCCTTATGAGCCGCCCTCCCGTCTCATCCTTTAAATTCCTCGCTGTAATCCTTCCAAATGAGTTTGCACATTTCCAGCACTAGAGACAGAACTGAAAACAGCTCGACGCCTGGAAATAAATAAAACCGAGCATAAGCTGGTGATCAGCAGGTTGCAAAAACCAAGGGCCCGAGCTATATCACTGAGCACGACAGCAGCAGACTGGAATCCTTCAGAGACCACGTGTAAAATCCCAGCCTTACGGAGGCAAGAAAACAAAACCCGGCTCTTGTTACTGAACATAATAAACTCCTAAGTAGGAACCTCCCGGGGCTCGCCATCCGTATTTGTTCCCAATGGGATGCACAACAGAACTACACACCTTGATGCTCCCTGCGAGCCGTTCTGGGCTAGCTGGGGACTGAGGACCTCAGTTCAGAGGGTCCCATCCCTGGGAGCCCATCGAGGAGCTGCCTGGTGGACACGGTGGCTCCCGCGAGGCAGCGGGTGCCATGAGGATGTGGAACCAAATTCCTGACTCCTGCAGGTATCCTAGCAACACGCCTCAGAGGTTGGGATGCGCCGCCTTGCCCACCAGTTGTGCAGGATGCTGAAGGCCAAGCACACGGAGCATTTTCTTCCCAGTTCCCCACAAAGCGTGGCTGGGGGCAAGGAGCCCAGCGGCACGTTCCAGGCTGGCTGCACCGGGGGTCCCCTCCCTTGTGGGAGGCATTTGGGGCAAGGAAAGGTCTCAGGCAGGGTCCCCACGGGCTGGTCCCCACGGCAGTGACACTGGGGGTTCATCCCTGGCACCAAAACACCCTGTGCACAACCACGGGGCGCTGGAGGAGCTCGGGCCCTGGATGGGCATCCAAGCTCCACGTGGGCAGGAGTGAGGGAAAGGAATCAGAAATGTTGCGGAAGTGATCAGAAAAATTGTACTACAGAAATGCTCAGGTGATTTTTAAAAGTTGTTTTGCAAAACAAGCTTAGAAAACCTTGAGGAAATTATAGCAACCTATAGGAGAATGGGAAATGAACACTGCTCAGTTTCTAATCTAATAAAGAAATTTTTCCAATGTGTCTTACTTCCCATCCAACTTCATCTCCTTTTTTATTCCCCCACTACCACTAACCAGATCCTTTGGGCTCTAACACGCATTTTTCACTTGAACCTCCATTGCCCTGATTTAACATTCACCTGCAATTTTGCCAATCAAGTCAAGAGGAAAACTGCAGAATTCCCTGCTTGCCTGTGCTATGGAATGAGCCCTGCTAAGCTCATTTTATTCCAGTATATCAAGAAATCCAAGGGTTTCACAGAGACCTACAGGGGAAGCTCTGTCCCTGGGGCCGGCAGGGGCGAGGAGGCCCTCGCTGCCCACTCCAAGATGCATCATTTGTGACAGATCTCCGCTCTTCATCCTCACTCAGGGGAAACCAGGAGCTCAGTGGCTGTTTGCTGTGACACTTCTGGGCAATCACCAACCCAGGTTTTATAAAACTCAGAAGAAATTCGCTGTGACAGGCGGGATGTTTTGCAAGTGTCACCACAACGTCAGGAGCGGGTCCTGACCTGTGCCCACCAGCGAGGACCAGCAGCTGGGTGGCATCTCACATGTGGCATAAAATTCAGTGCCTTTACACTTTTTTTTTTTTTTTTTTTTTTTTTTTTTTGTGCCGGCAAGCAAGATCAACTATTTACTGGTGTTTTTACATATGAAAGCCCGACCGACACCTCTGACAATAAAAGCACAGCTGGTAGCAGCGTGCTGAAGGCAATGTGGTGGTACAGGATGGGAGGCTGCAACCCCATCTCTGCTCAAGGCTGAGCATAAGCTACAGGTGGGAGCAGCTCCCTCATGTACACAGCACGGGAGTTACTGCTGGTGTTTCTGCTGGGTAGATATAACACGAGGATCCCATCACCCAGACCCTGCACAAAGATGCTCAGAATTGCCCTAAATTCTGTGAACACACCAGGAATCCCGGGAAGGTGGCTCTTCACGTGCATGGCAGCAGTTAGGTTGTGCATGGCAGAGATGCACCATGCAAAGCCCATCTCCTGAAACCCAAAGCAGACCAGAGGTTTTGGGGAAGGAGGCCGACAGAGGCTGCTTCATCTCACGTGAAGCCCAACCCACCCTTGGCTTCTGATGCTCATCTGGGGTGATGGATCCACCCGGAGAAGAAGCAGGCAGAGCGGATCCATCACGGCCTTGCAGCATCTCCCACAGCCACCAGGTATTTTTATGCAGCTATTCAGGCTAAGGATGTGTGAGGAAAATAAATTAAGTAGGAATATGCTCCAGGGAGAGACATTTGTGAAAAGCAGCAGGTCGCGGGTTAAAACAGCCAGGTGCAAGTTAACCAGTGTACAGAATGGTCAAGGGACAGCTGCTAGGGCGGCGTGAGCCCCGGCACACGCTACCCAGAAAACATCAAGGGTATTCTGCACCCAGAATTTACATTCAGCACCCAGAAGCTATTTTAAGGGCTCCGTGGAGGCAAGCTAATATTATCAGGGCACTTTCCTTCCAGGAGACAACAATACAGTTTGAGCCAGGGAATCCCATGGGGAGGCTCCGTAAACACCTTGCTTGGATGAAGCGGATGTGATTTGCTCCTGTTAAGATGGGCTCAGCTGAGCTGAAGTGGGTTTCTCCCTGCAACCTGCAAGCAAGGCCATGAGCAGCAATGGCCCGAGACCCAGGAGACCCACAGTGTGGGCCATATGGTTCCTCTGGAACCACCTTGACCCTTCTAATACCTTCTGTAAAGCACTTTGAGACCCACAGACAGGAAAAGGTGTGCAAAGAACCAAGAAATACCATTAGCGCATGATGCTATGGCTCTAAGCTATGTGCAGGCAGACACAGCCATGATGAACACCCTAAATCAGAAGCATTGGGAGAAATGTGGGAAAAAGAGAAGGAAGAAATTGCATTATGACAGTGACAGAGAGAAAAGAAGTAGATGGGAGGGCTACAGAGACCTTAGGAGTGCTCTGATACCAGTATGATGGCCTGAATAAACAATATTACTAGAAAATTGTCCAGGAGGGAGGAGGACAGCCAAGAGCGAAGGGAGGTCAGGCACAGAAGGCTGCCTGCCCTGCACCTTCAGGTGCAGCTCCGAGCAGCTCTGCATGCAGCCACCTGCAGAAACAGCCCTGCGTGGTCACCAGCGCCAAAGGGGAAGCCAGCACAGCGGGGACCCTCTTGTCAGAGGGACCCCGAGCAAAATAAGATTCTGTCAAGAGACATTTACTGCTGTTTGCATCGTACTCCAGAGCAGCCTGGGGATATTTAGCCAACTTGTCGCCTCCCAGATACCACTCACTGTGGATCCTCTGCTGGGAGGAGGGAATTTCTGATATAGCCCATACCATGATTCAGCCCCCAGTTCAGAAATGAACACCAACATGTGGATCTGGCCTTCAGAAAATGAGCATCTCTCTGTATATGGGCTTTCTTCCTCTGAAAAGGGAGTTCTGAAATGGAGCACAGCAAAATGTACAGTCTGCCTCCCACCACTGCAGCAGCGATGGTGACAGACAGCAACAAGAACGGAAAATAACCCCTTCATCTTCTGCAGGAGGGGTACAAAAGTGCACCCGGAGCAAGGCAAATGCAACAAGTAAGGCTGGCGAGGGGACCATTGTGCTCACTTCTCAAAACTCGGAATTTGTCTATTTTTCCAGCAATCACTTCTGTTTCAAATACACTCTGAGCATGAAAGCCACATACAGCTATTGATCCATACTCAAAAAAACTACATTTGGAAACCAAAAGCGAAAAAAAAAAGAAACAGGGAAGCAAATCAAGCACTGACCAGTCTTTCAAGCGTGTCCAGCTGCCAGTGGCTCCCAATTCCTCTGTTGTTCACAGAACGCAACAACATTTGGGCAAAATTTGATTTTTCTTCCTGGTGACCAACCCACCGTGTGTTCGGGTCTCACTTACCAGTCAAGTTCTTCAAGCCGAGTTCCCTGAGTCCGAAGTTGCCGTCCTTCCTGTAGTTGAGGAATATGGCCAGGGCGTATCTGTCCTCGTAGAGTTTGGTCCCCCGAACGATGCGCAGGTTCTCCAGGGGCAGGTACTCAAACTGGTTCAACGCCACCAGCACGTAGCCCGTCACTTCTCTGATGGACTGGAAGAGACACAGGAAATAAAACACATTATGAGCAATAGAAAATTAAAAAACTAGAGAATAATGGTTTGTTTTTCAGTCTTATTAAACTTGAGCAGAAATTCACAGCAAATACAGAAGATACATCATCAAAGGGTGATTTTCACAGTTCAAGCTAGTGATGAGGTCTCCGTACGACACAAGGAGAACCCCCCATGGTGAAACACGCTGGAGATAAGACAACCACGTCCTAGCAAGTGTTTTGCACAGGATATTGAGGGCTGAGGCTGAAGGGATGGACCACGGCGCAAGAGGCCATTCCCTGGAAAACACCTCTGGTGGAAACAGAGGACACGTTGGCACATGTGTACTTAACGCATACATAAATATCTGCACGCATAAAACTGAGTGCAAAGCTCATGATGTTATCACTGAGCATGGAGATGCACATAAGGAAGGGTTATTCCTGGGCAATCTATACGTTAGGGAAGGGCTTATATGCAGCCCGAGCTCCACACTCTGCTGAAGCTACCAGGAAAGCACTGGAGTTATTTCAACACTCACTTGGCATCCAAACAGAGCCCGGTGTCATTACAGGACTTTGATGAGAACCCCGTGAGTTGAGCTGGGTGGAGATGTATGGTTCAGCAGCTCAATATTAAGTGCAGAGCTGCATTATACCCTGGGACACTGATTCCATTATAATCAGCAGCTTTCTGGCACTTTCATGATAGCTCTTTGCTTTCAGACATCTCAGCTTAGCCGGTTTGGGCAGGAATTTATTTTTTATTGTACATAAAGATCTCCTCAAGCTGGCTTTTCCAGCCTTCTTCAGAATTCAGAAAATATTAAAATTATATTCATGACTTCTATTTCATTACTGATAATCCAGGAGCCCTATGATTGCTCTAATTAATTTAGAAGGACTTTTTGACTTGGAATCATGTCAAAAAAAAAAAAAAAAAAGCAATGAAAGCAGTTCCAAAACTGCATCTGACCAAGTCCTTCCTGCCAATTTTTGTCACTTATAATCACATTTCCTATTTTTAGGATTCGCCTTACTTCTTGCCATGCAGAAAGTCCACCTGAAAAGGCCCTCATTCAGCATGGCACTTAAATTATGCTAATGCTCCCCAGCAAATCTTGGGCTGCTCCAGTGCAGAAAAGTAGAGAAGAGAAGACAGAATTTGTATTTTTGGTGGTGGTTACCGTGAGCTGCATCCCCCCACCCAGAGGCTGTGCTTTGTGCCATTTATCTGACAGAAATGACATTTTGGCCAGAATTTTGACAAGAGCCAGAAGGTCCTTTCCAGCCTTGCGGTTTCCATCAGCCCTGCAACATCGCGCTCTCCTCCGTAAAAGCAGGTATTCACTGGGAAAAAATGGCTCTGTTAATCCCAAAAGGACTGAAATCACCTAAAATCTTTCAGATTTACAACAACAGTGTTCTAAGTGACCCAATCTGTACAAACTGAAAGCTGAAAGCTTCCACAGAGGAAACCAGGAGAAGTTTAGCAACCTCCAGACTTCCTCGCTGTCACCTGTGATTTTGCAGGGTTTTTTCCCTCCGTTACAACATCATTTTGGCTGGGAAATTCTGGCCAGCTTTGCCTTGCTTTTCCCTGTTACATTCCTAGTTTTTGAGATGCAACTTGCTGCTGTAGGACCCATAGAGCAGGAGAGCAAACAGATACACGTTCCCCCAGTACTTCTGCTTCCATGCATACGTTTGGGCTTCCCAAAGCTCTTTGGGCACTGGCGCGTGCAGGAACGTATGGATTTGCCTGAAGGAAAGGCTGAAACTCCCACTCTGCTCATCAAACCTGCCTATCGCACGCCTCGCTGCTCCAAAGCTGAGGAGAAGACACTTCTGAGGATTCAAGAGCCAAAGGTGTCTGCTCGTTTGATTTGTCCTGTTCGCTACCAGGTGCAGAAATAAGAAAGGGCACGCTTCTAGCGGGGAAAAAGAAGGAAAAAAAAGACAGAAAATGCATTAATACCCAACAAATGTAAAGCCTCCCAAGGTGCTTTGAACCTTGTCGAGCCACGGGACGCAGCCTGATACAGTTATCAGAGGAGCACTCCTCATCCGCGTGCGTTTTCAGAGGAGCTTTCCCGCGCTCGGTCCTCGAGGAGCGGTGCTTCTTCCCGAGCAAAAAGGGGAATCTCGCAGGCAAAGCACGCGCTCCGCTTCGAAGGCTGCAAGGGGCAGCTGAAAGGCACAGGTTACATCTGCTCGGATGACACGGATCCCCCTGCTCCTGCCTCACATGGTCGGGAAATGCTTGGAAAAAAGCGCTTATTAATTTCACTGTGATTTAATGCGTCTCTCTCCCAAACTCTCCCATCCTGTAGGTAAAGCATCTTTTCCCCTAGGGTTTATGGCAGGCGCGTTACTCCATAGAACAGTTTCTTACTGGCTTGGCTTTCCCCTGCGCAGGGAAAACATCCTCCTATTATTATTATTATTTAGCTTGAAAGTAAATTGTCCCTAGATGGTGATAAACCACATTTCAAAGTAAAAGGTAGCCCAGCTCCAAATCTGCTGCAGAGGTGGGCCCGCACACAGCTAGTTTTGTTCCCGATTTGATCATTTATGCTACAAATTTCATCACTTTCAGCAGAAACCCTTTGCCCCACGCTTATGGCCGAGCCCCTGCAGCCGAGGAGTGATGCAGGGGGTGAGGGGAGCTCAAAATGACCAAAACCAGGGAAAAGGTAGTGATTTCTCAGAAGCATCAGCGGGGAACGAGAGACAAGACCCAGGTACCCAGGACCTCAATCGCCTTTTGCAGCAAATTCAGGGAAAAAGGAGTAAAACAGCAGCAAGAACATGATCAGCCCGTCCACAACAGCGGATCGATGACCGATTAAGGCAGCTCATGCTTCTCGTAAACACTGCCAGCTCCTCTTAGCATCGCTCGCAGACGGCTTGGTCGGCTTGGTCGTGGCTCCGGGGCTGATAAGCCCTATTTTGTGGCTCACACGGCTCATTACTTGGCCTGCTTGCAAGCTCTTTACCCGCTTCCCGGCCCCAGGTTTCTGAAGCTGCTGCTTTGCTCCCAGGGATTAAGGCAGCGCTGCCCAGCTGGGCATGGGAGCAGCATCCAGCAGCGCCGGGCGCTTCCCACCCAGGATATAACAGGGCGAGAAAGCTGCATCGCCCCCAAAATTAGAGCATTTCATGGAAAAATCAATGGGCATCAATGCCCAGAAACTCAAAGTATCCATGTATTCCCTTAGGAGGCAAAGCAGGGATTCAGACGCAGGTGCTTCCAGCAACCTGAGCGCACTGCACGTCTCACAGAGCTGGGGATCGGAGGTGTCACCGAGGTGTCACCCAGGCAATAAGCCAAGGGCACGCTGCTAATCCCACCTGCTGCGAATAACCTAAGCTCTGTTTTAAGAGAATATCCATTTCACGAAGCACCAGGAGGCTCCTTGTGTGATCCAGCTGCCAGCGGACAACAGACACCTGGTGATCTCCATGCAAGGAGCTAGACTGCAAGGAGCCCCCAACCCCAGCTCTGCGTTCTGTCCCGTTGTATTAAACCACAGGAAAGTCAGATTTCCAGAGGATACAAAGGGAAAAGCCTTTCCCCAAGTGCACAGTCTTCTCTTGCACGCTAATAAAGGCAGAAGGCCCCAGCAAAGCTACATGTAAAATAACCAACGTGAACAGTTACCACCGCGCAAGCTGGCTCAGAAGCTTCTCACACCTCGGGTTAGTGTGAACACCCCATCCCCTACTCACTTTTCTGATGGCATTTAACATCTGCTTTCAACTCGGCAAGGCCAAACAAGCCACATTTATTTCCAGTTTTCATCGCAGGGAAATACTGCAAAGTCGACACTGACTTGACTTTAAGCAAGTTCTCCAGAGAGTCACAACAACCACCTTGAGGATGGCCACGCAATTCAGCCAGGGGTGTTCCTGAGCATGGCCAGAAAGTCATGGGTGATTTTCTAATTTACCCTTTTTGAGCATCAGGAGCTGCTGGGATAGGTAGTACAAGCCTCAGTTGCAGCTCAGAGCTGGAGTCCAGGATGTAGACCAAGAAAAACATCTTTCTGGTGCCTGACCCAAAGCAAATGTTGTATCATAACCGGAGTTTCCACAGAACTGCAAAAAATGCATCATTCAAAAAACCTGCAATTCTGATTCCGAGTCGTCACTAAATATATAGATAAATATCTAAATTTGTATGTACGTATAGAGTTGTCTTCTGGTTTGTTTTAAGCAGAATTAGGAAAATGGAAAGAAAAGACTGGCTGGGAGTTTTGCTGGGAGTTCAGCATTTCGGACAACTGGCGAAGACATTCACCCCTTCCCTTGCCCTCACCTGCCTTGTAAATCTGAATACAAAATACGAACGGCCTCTGGAGCAGCAGATCAATGCCTTGAACATTACCCAACTTTCCTCAAATTCCAAGTGGTACCCAGCTCGATGCATCTTTCCCTCCAAGTCCTTGGAGATTTTTAGGTGAAGATTTTGTCACGGAATTGGGTTCAGCAACTTTGCTTTCCCCAAAGTTCTGTTTCCTTGGCGTTAAGTCTTCACACTGCGTTATTCCAAGCGTGGGCCTTGGGATACGAGAGGGACACAGGAGAAGGGGCTGCCTATTTGTTTTATTTACTTAGTCTCACACAGAAATCATGCTCCCGCATAGCCGCAGAAAATCAGGCTGAGCACCAGGATTATACGATACGTTAGGGAAGGGCCTAGGGAAGGCTTAGAGACAAAACAAATGCCAGCGTAGAATCCATTAAACTGTAGATCAATGTCCAAATCTGGCATTTGCAAAGGAAGCCCATAAATAATGTATAAGTAATGGTGATGGATAAGAACACGGAGATCCTCTCAATTGTTTATCTTGACTCATTTTGCAAAGTATTGCTGAAAACACAACGCGGGAAGGGAAACGTAAAATAAAAATAACCAAAATACTACGGCAATGGCAACATAAAGATAATAGAAAAATAACATGATTGATTTTGCTTTCACATTTTGAAATATAGC